CCCCAAAACCCCAAAACCCCAAAACCCCAAAACCCCTAAATCAATACTTGTTTTGAAAAACGGACTAATTTTATTTAATTCCTATTGATTGAGAGCTGCCTGAAGCTAGCTTTCCTGGCTGGCTTTATCTTAGCAAGCTGATAGCTCTTAAAATGCCTTTTTCTCTCCTTAGACCCGTCTAAAAATTACCCCAAAGCATACCTCTATGAGTATGGTAGAGTCTGGAACTCTTTTTGGCAGTTGTTCCACCATCGGACTGAGCTGAGGTAAATACTTGTGGATAATTTCTCGTCTCGTAATTCTGTAACAACTTTCAGCTCTTCTGAAACATTTTCTAACAGTTTAGCCAAGTCATACCTGGTTGCCATCGGTCGAGGTATTCGAGACCTTATATTTTAAGCTACTATTTGACTTTTTCCTCGATCTCTTCATTTCCAGAGTCATCTTATTTAAACTCCTCAGCTGTAAAGTGAGACTTGGGCTTAAACACAGAAGTGAGGTTGGGATTCTTGTAGTTTATAGTCGCTTTATTCATCCTTCTACATCTTTTAGAATGTGACTAACCACTTATACTTCCCCAGATGTGATCGAGAGGGATTCGGTTCCATAGAAGGTTTCTTAGAAGTTTTGTAGTATCCAAAATCAGTCTTAGAATCATTATTCAACTCTAGTCCCCTTTGGCTCTTCTTAGAAGCATGGCTTGAGTTAATATTTTTGGGTGGAAGTTGACCTGAAGAAATCGCAGTCCCCAGTTTTTTACTCAGCTGGGTCTCTACATCACTAGGATCTTTAATAATTTTTCTTTTCTTCAATTTTGGAATTTTGCTGTTGTACTTGATGTACAACTTTGAGTTTCCAGTACTCTCCCTTGCTGCTACAAAGATTATTGAACCCTTACAGCTGCTTCCAAGGTGCTCTGACTTGCTATACAACTGCTGGATTTTGGTATAAAGTCGCTTCTTATTCTTCAAAGTGATATGTCCAGACTGAGAGCTAAACATTAAGAGAGTGGAAAAGTACTCTGGGTATTGTGGTTTAAGATCTTGGTTGTTTTCTCTAACTGTTAACGAACCCCTACATTTAAGCCTGATATCTTACATTATTAACTTATCATTACGATTATATCAGACTGTATCTCTCGAAGTCTTCAAGCCATCTTTGGAAATGATATTTTCTAATAGTTTCACAGTCAATTTACCTTCATATTTTTGGTAGGAGTTAGCCAAGCTCCCAAAAACACTAGTGGCCATCTTCGTATCTGAATCTTTACTTAAGTCATGATGTATCAATGGCAAGAGATGCTGGTTACTGCTAATCCCTTTCTTTGAAACTACCTGATCCCCAAGTGAAAATTTGTAGTCCTTAATTGCCGACCTTTTAAAACGCTTTTCAACTTGTTTATTTAAAATTGATCAGTTCAGATTCCATCTTAGGGTTTACATACCTCTCACGTTTTAACGGGCCTGCAGCATAAGCTGGGATATTGCCATTCGAAAGTCTGTGAAGTACCATTCTTCTGCCCTGAGCATCAACAGACTTAGCGCTCTTCTTCTGTTCCTGACCCAGATCTCTCCGTCTGATGAAATTTAACTTATTAGGATTCTTCTTTTGAATATCTCCCATCTTACTTGCTGAATATTTGAAATTGTAAGGGTTGAATAAAGAGATAGAAAAATGCCGGAAACTTACTGGCTGGCTTGGATTTGCTCCTGGCATGCTTCTCCTCATTCTGGTCATTGCGCCGGCCTCCTTCATGCTGAGCATTTTTAGGGTTGAATATCTTCTCCACCAATTTCTGATTACTATACCAAGTTTCATATGCCTCAGGTTTTAAGGTTAATAAAATTGTAAGAAGTTATTTTCCAATAAATACATAATGCATGAGGTATTATTACAAAAACAAGTGGATCCAATACTTCGGATCAGAAATTCCTTGAGGAGGCAACTAAATAGGCTAAGCCTCCTTCCGATTTTCCCAAAATTAACAAGTTGCTTTATAGTATCCTATTACGAAATTTTGAACTTTTCAAAAACTGACTACAAACGAGAAAGCCATTGAAACACTAAAACTAGTAGCCAATAAATTATGTTGTTGTAATTCCCAGATGTATAAATAACTGTTGCGAACACAAAGTGAAGGACGCATTCTAGGCCAGGCTGCATCCCCAAAAGTCTAGCTGAAAACTCTTGTAAAAACCTGTATCCTCAAGCCTTACCTTGCTCTATCATACTGATTCATGTTTGCTTTATCACTTTATATTTTTATTCAAATATTTGTGAATTTTGGGGTTTTGGGGTTTTGGGGTTTTGGGG